TGCGTGCGTGCGTGCGTGCGCGTGCCATGTGTGTGGGTGGGTGCATGCGTGCGTGCCTGCATGCGTGTGAAATCGATGTCGCCCTCATTAAGAGGATCTGTCCGGCAGATTGTCCAACCTTGGAGATTGCAAGCTTCTTGAGGCCAAGAGTGGATCTTGGCATCGCGCGACAATTTCCGAAGTTTGTCACCCGGACCCAAGATTCTCATTCACGGAGGGAGTGGCGAACTTCGGGTCCGTACCGCCGGCAGAGTCCTCCAGCTTTCCAGCCTCAGGCCATACTGTTTGGGTAGAGGGGAGGTGTGACAGCATGACCCCATTTCAGGCGTTGCTCAGGTCTGAGCAATTCTTTCCATGCGAAAGACGGGGCCATGTCGGCAGAGCTGGGTCGAATCCGAAAGCAGCTTCGTGCACGTGCATCATGCTTCGAACTACTCCAGTACCGTGAACTGGCTTCTAAGTCGCTAAAAAGCCTGTCGGAAGCAGTTGGCACAGTAATCACAACAAAACGTAGACTGCACCTGTCAACTATGTATACACGAAGAGAGAGACAGGTAGGCACACAGACACCACATGCACCACGGTGTGCATCAGAGAACAGAACGCCTCTCCGAAGCTCACAGAAATGGTGTCGTACTGCAGTGACTGCCTGAATGGGTCAATGACATCACTGCACTCGGAGCACCAGTTGTGTGGCCCGAGGCGAGGATGGCACCTTCTTGGTGGATTGGTTCGACAAGGATGGCCAGGCAGGGGAAGAGCCCTTCCCGTACTTTGAATGCGGAGGTTTCTCTAAAATGCAAGCTCGGCGGGCCCGATGGCGGGCCCGAAGCGGCCGACGCCTGCGTTCCCCTGGTCCTGCCTGCTGTAAGCAGGACCGGAAGAAGCAGCGAAATGAAATCCGACGGCCAGTTCTTAGAGGCTTTGCTCAAGGCGGAGGTTCAATAGTCATTCAGTAGCCAGAACTCTCAAAGCGGGTTCGGGGAAATGGATGCTGTGTTAGGTTCTTCCTGTTTCATCATCCGGGTTTGGGAGCAGAGTTATGTTTTTACTTTTGTGTTCCACTGTTGCCGGGTTCTACCGGGCCTTCCGCGTACTGCCGATCATATGCCAGAAGATTGTCATAGCAGCGAACATGTGCTGCAAGTCCCGATCCCTGCTTTTAACCTGACCCAACCGATTTATCAGTGATGTGAATTCGATGAGGACCTGGTGCCAGCCCATGTGGTAGAGTTAAGAGATGCCCCTCTGTGCATTGGCTTTTGACCGCCCCTCCTACAGACTCTTTTGGGACTCCTAATTAAGGACCTTTCGACCATCGCAACCTGGATGATCTGCCGCGCTTTGCCGCCTTCCCTTCACTGGCGAAGGAGGGCGATGCGGAGTGTGTCGGGGCAACGCTTGTTAACGTTTATGATTATGGTATCTCGGCGAATGTGTTGCGCTTCAGCCTTTGTGGGCCCCATGTTGCTGCCATCACGTGTCAGACCCTAGGCCATAGGCTGTTCCATGCCACAGGGGAACACTGCTACACTGCTACGCCATGCATCATGTGTAGCAGAATTTCGCGGTTGTATAGACAGAGGAAGGGGCAAGACAGAAGAGCGTCGATGGCTCAAGCGTTCTGGGCGTGAAGCCCACTATGGCTGTCGACGTCTGCTTTGTGGCTGTTTACGGCTTCCAACAATCTCGTCCAACAGTGCAGCTTCTTGAGGTAGCTAGCTATGTGCAGAAGCACACTAAGCGGCCAGTCACCTTTGGAGCCGTTTTACCTATCACGTGCCCCGCACCTTGCAGCCAAAGGCGGCTGTGCTTGGACGTCAGGAGACCACTGCTGGCCCATAGTGGCCCCTGTTTAGAGGAGAAAGTGCCATGGGAAAGTGAAAGGTCCAGTTCGCTGCAACATTCAGAGAAAAGCGAGGAGATTGAGGTTCAGTTGCACCAGGTCTGCTTGCGCAGCAAATAGCTGAATTCATCTCTAAGACTCTAAGATGGAGGCCGCTCGGCGGCCGGAGCTCGTCCGGGCCGCTCGTGCGCAGAGAGTTCTTCAAGGTTTGGCCCGACCGCTCCGAGCAAAGATCGGTTTCTATCACATGAGCCACACCGCGAAGCCAGAGGTGTTCTGGTCCCACAGCTGGCATGGTTCTGTTCCGGCAAAGGTCGCCACGGTGTTCTTCCTTCACAATGCCACGGCCGCTACGACACGAGGATCCGTCGTCTCGAGACTTGTGCACAGCATCACGCACGTGATGCTGCGCGCAAGTCTCGAGATGACGGATCCTGGTGTCAGGTCCACTCGCACACAGTACCTTTACACCATGGACCCAATATGCCAATATATACACTCAACGATATTCCGAAGGAGCCCTATATACTATACACTGCACTATACCATACACTCACCAAAACCCTAATGTCCGCCCTCCTTCACATCTTGATGCCTGAAGCTGCATCGGCCAGGCTTGAGCACCCCTGCCCAAATGGTCATGACATGCCTCACATGCTGACAGCATCACGCACTGCTGTCAGCGCCGGCCCATCGCATTGCCTTCAAAGGATCTACGAACCTGCGCATGGTATCCCAGCAGCTTCGTCAACAGACCGCCGTGCTGCGTTCGCTTGTTGTGGTCTGGTATATTGCCCACCTTGCACGTGAGTACTGCCGTCACTTGACCGCCACGGGCCAGCACATCGGAAACTTCCGTGTTGCGGCGGCCGCAAGCTTTTGTTTCTCCACAAAACACAGAAGAGCCGGCAGTGACGAGCCTTTGATGTGCGACCGGGTGGTTCGGCAGCATCGAATCCTTTGAGCAATGCGTCCAAGGCCAGGTGTGCGATTTGATGGTGGGTCAGCTCTTCACGCCAAATGGTGTTATACTGGCGACTGGCTGAAGCCTCCCCGATTGTATTCTGGACAATCCTTGATAGAGTGGCATACCACTTGAGGGTACATGTGGCAGCTTGGTGAAGCCACTCCATTCCACATCTTCGGCAGCTTGTGCATTCTCGTCGGCCTGTCGTTCTGGCTTGGGGTAGTACCGATTCTTTTCCGTATCATGTTCCTCCTGGCTTGGATCATGCAGGCAAGGTGTGCTTGTCGACTACTGGAGTCATTCATGTCACTGCTCCTCGTACTGGCCGGCTTCATCATCTTCACCTGCTTTGTCTTTCTCGAACACTTCCTTGGAAATCTGTTTGCAGCCGGGCTGGATGCGCTTGCGTTCACTGTCATGACTTTTCATATCGCAGCACTAGCTTGGTACTGCTTGCCAGTAACAGTGCCTCGCCTGAGCTGAGATTTGCCAGACAGCCACGCGCGCAGCCTCAACAGCAAGAGTCTGAAATCGGCCATTGCATAGTACTGCAGGGACAGGGAGAGTCTCGGTAAGGTTTAAAGCCAAATCGTCCAGACGCCAGTGTTCCCCAAATCGAACATGTAGGTGAGTCTCATCCTCAGGATGAATATCGAGTGGGGGACGGGGCTGCTTTCGGGATCGGCTCTGGCAGACTTACTGTGGTGTCCAGTGTCTGAAGAGCAGCCGTCGTCGTGCTGTCTTTCTGAAAGAGTTTCGGTGTATATAGATGTGGCAGACCGAAGACACACGAATTGAAAGTCAAGTGGAGCACTCGACAAAAGACATCGATTTCCGGCCGATCTTGTGATCACAACGCTGAGTGAGAAGGACCGGCAGTGCACCGCGGTGTGCTTGGACGAGCCGCGCAGCATTCATGTGCGCTTCGCCGCCGGCCATTCAGCAGCCTTGGCCCCAGTCTGGAAGTGTTTGAAGATGATTTAATTTGGGAATCAAGCCTTGAAACCTTTCGGACTAGTACTGGCACCGATTCCACCTGCGTAGCACCGAAGAACTTCGGCCTTGATCTCGAGGTGGACGAGCAGGGCTACACGCCCATGGTCGGAGATGAGATCGCGTCATTTGCGCTGGACCCAGCCTCCCCCCAAGCTGCACTGAAGTATGCCATAGGTATAGGTTTAGGTATTCGATCGCCCGGTGATGCGAAATATCATTCTGCGAAGTAAACAGAACACAGTTTGTGCACGTGTCAAGCCCGCAGGACCCAAGCTGTCCTCTCGCGCCTTTGTCCATTGGCTCGTTTGTGGCACCGGGACCGGCGCAGGCAAGGCAGCACGGAGTTGTTATGAGTTCTGTTTGGATCTTGTCAAACCCGTCACGATCCCCTCACTTGAAATAAGTGATTTTGCTTGCAAAGCTTGGCAAAGAGCTACAGTTAACAAACCAGTTCTCAAATAGCTTTCGAGGGGTGAGTGTCGAACCCATCCTTTCCTCATAGCCTCCGATTGTCCCAAACAGACTCGGGATACGTGAGCGAAGAGGATAAAGATAAAATGATAAAGACAGCGCCGTGCGGTTCAAGACCAACTTTTCAATCTTGCCTTCAACACGGCCGGGCCAAGAGGACCCTCAAAGTCACAAGAAGGATCGGGGAGGGAGGAAGAGAGAGGTAGAGCGAGAAGGGCCTGGGTGCCCGGGCCCTCATGGTCTTGAGAAGAAGAGAGACAGACGCTATGCCGCTATGCAGACCTTGGCGACAGTTTCAGACCTTTGGACGAAGCCCTCGATGTCCACCATCCGTGGCTTTACTTGTGCAGGAGCAGGGCGTGGCGGCCGGCTGGTACGTCGACTTGGTCGCCACTCTTGGAGGCTCGGGGCTGCGAGATGCGACAACAAGCAGATCGCCGAAAGCGGACGTCACCAATAGTGTTACACAGCGACTGCGGATCTTTGGGAGCTGAGCGGTTTTGTGGTCCCCCGCATCTGCGGACATACCATGTAAGCACCAGCACCAACATGGAAGAAAAGGCATGAAACAGCATGACCCTTGTAACGGCATGAATGATCTATATCTCTTTCTTGTTCTTTGCTCCCTGTCTGTCTGTCTCGCTCTCTCTCTCTCTCTCTCTCTCTCTCTCTATCTCCTTCTCTCTCATATATTCGAAGCGTTACGCAGCTCGGGCCCTCTATGCCAGGACCCTCGCGGTCGGAGTTGTCAGAGCTGCTGAAGACCCTCGGCACCTGGACTTTCAAAGAACGGTACGGGTACACACCGGGAAATCAGCACTGCATCGTGGGAGTGTGGTCTCCAGCCTCTAAGTTTCAGGTAGCAGCCTGAACGCCGAACGCCTCGCTGAAGATGTGATCCTTCCGAGCCAGGTGGCTGTGAGGTGAACATCAAGGATCTCAATGCTCTGACGGAGGCCACGTCATTTATCCTGAGCTTAATTTAAAAGTCTCAAGTCTCAAGTCATCTCAAGCCGGAGCAGGTGCTTGATATGCCGCCAGTGACTCTATGCTTCCAGGCCGTCTTTCGGAACATTGCAGAAGTGCAGACCAGATTCAACGAAGATCTCCGTGCAATGCGCCCCTTGGTCTTTAGATCTCATTGCTTATGCTAGCGGGAAGCAAAAAGGATAGGTTCATTCAAAGTGATGCATTTCATGAATATAAATGTGAACTTCTCAGATGAGTTGCAACTCGGCAGGCGTTCATCCTGCATTTTCAGTTACAAGCCTCTTGCTACACCGAAGGAGACATCACCTTGATCTTCACGAACAGCTGCTCGCCAAAGCAGGTCACCCCCAGTAGTTTGACAAGTCTGTTCGCCTGCGCAGAGCCATCGATGTTGCAATTGGAATGCAAAACCGCCGGCCTGATGATATAGCAATCCGCACGTCAGCAGACTTGCTGTAAATCGGGCAGAGACCAGGTCAATCAGCTTGCTAGCAAACAGTTCGGCACGACTGCATCGAAGCCCAGCGATTCTCTTTCCAGTGCCAGGTGTTGGTTTTGCCTGAGGCACATGTCAAGCTACTCGGTGGCACTGCTCCTTCGAAACTCCAAGTTCAGCAGATTTAACTCTTATCTCGAAGTCACACTCGGATGTCCGCGGGTCTGCAAGGTTCCCTGAGACGACGGCCGCCTCGAGTGAGATCCCTTGTTTTCATCTGAGCCTTGGCAGACGCTCTTAGGCTTTTGTGTGGCCCGTGGAAGTACTGTGAAGGTCAAACTAGCATTTTGTTCGTGATTCTGCAGTGTGCCGCAGCCCCAAGCACTGAAGTGACTGTGCACATCGTACGTTGTCGTGCATGCCCGTGGGCAAATTGCAATTTGGCACAATTCCTAGAAGCCTTGGAGACAGTCGAGCAGAACCGACCTAGTTCCTGGATCGAACAGATGTTTGCTATTTATGGTTTGCCGGGTTTTGGAGGCCTTGTACATTAAGCCGATGAGGGATATGAACTACATACAAACATCGCTGCGCAAAGCTCGAACGCAGCTGCATCGAAAAGTCCTGCAACTGAACACTTGTAATATTGCTCGAGTGTGCCGGCAGTGTTTTGGCGGCGTGCAGTACACTGCCACCAAGAGCCGCCAGCACACGTTCATGCAAGCGAGCTGCTTGGAAATGTCCGGACACATGCAGTGCTTCGATGCTCACACCTACACACGATCTCAAACCCATAGCACGGCGACCGCTAGGAACCGCCGTGTCCGGCATTGGACCGTTTCCCAGATTTGCTGCTAAGGACAGCTGGATCTCATGCCTCTGAGCACCCTCCGGACACTGCAGCTTGGCCAGCAATGCCTACTAGGTATTGTCGAGGACCCAGATGTGTGCGAAACCCGGAATGGGAACAAGAGCAACTGCCGCAGCCTCGCGAAATCCCAAGACAGTTCGAGGGCGCACAGTGTGTGCTTTCAAGCATGCTGCAAGGTAGCCTGTCACTTAGCAACCGTTGTGAGGTCGCGAGAATTGTCGTAGCTACGGCCCAAACCGGCGATTCCTAGGATGATGCCTCGCGAACGAATTGCTTCGCTCGCCAGGTTACGGTTGGACCTCACGGGTGCGACACCTGGCACCGATTCACCTGGCCGGAGTAGGGTTTGGTTACCGGTCCCTTGTGTTCGCCATTGGAATCATGGGAGCTCCTCGCTGTTCTGCCCTGTTCCCTTACTCTTCAGGGCTTTTGCGCTTTGATTGTCCAAGTCCGAAGCCTCTGCGTTTGTAACACGGCAGCAGTCAGAAGCAACAGTGCGACCTGTTGACTGTTGGCTATGCCGGCTATGCGTGGTCGGATGGTGATCACGTGGGGCTGGTTGGGGCGGGACAGCGTGAGTGTCGGAGCTGTTGCCCGAGGAGCTCAAAAAATTTGACAATGGCTCTGTCACGTGGTGGTGCGACGACCGCTCTCCGCACTGCACGCGCGAGTCGGAGGGTCCAAAGGCAGGATCTCGACAGGGCTACAAGAGTCTGCGAGTCTAATAGCTTCGGCCGCAAGAGTCCCTCAAGGTTTTCGCTCGCCCGAACAGGGTAGCAAGTGGACTACAAGGGGCTTTGGAGTAGAGAGGTGGCCGAAGAAGCCGCGCGTTTTCAATGAGGTTTGCAATTAACCACAGCCTCCAGCGCCCTTGTCGGCTTGTGGCCTCATCATCCAACCACCGGCCCCAGTCCGAAAGACCAATGCTGCAACGCCACCAACACCGCTTTGAAATGCATCATGGAGCTCTAGGTAAGCTGTCGATAGGCTCCTGTGCCCAAAAGGATCGAACACAGGGATACGGAGCAGAACACGACCTGGATGATCGCAGCCGGAAAGCGAGCCCCCGCACTCCACCCGCGGTTTTGATCATTTGAGGAGGATTTTCAGGAATTGCGTAGGTGCGCTGGAGCTGCCGAACACACGGCTACGACATGTGCCGCGGATGTGTGAAGCACCACATGACCAATGCCAAGCCGCTCCTTGGTGGTAAGGATATCAGCCTTCACTGCTCTCTCTGTGGCGCTTGCTACTGCTATTGCTGGTGCTGTGATACTGGTATACTATAGATATCATAACTGTCGATGTTGAGTACTACTGACCTGGAACGCTTGCTTCGAAAAGCTCACACTACGACAAGTCCGCATAAGACTAGTCCTAGTCAAGGTGTTCTATATGGGTACTTATTTATCTTTCAATCTCTCAGTCAGCCTGTCCGTCCTCTGCCTGTTTGTTTGTCTATCTGTCTGCTACAGACAAATTGCCGATTAGTTTCAAGACAAGGTTGCCTGTCGGCTTGAATGTCGAGCTCGCGAGTTTGAGCCTTGGCCGTTAAGGTGGAAATAGTATGATTTCTTGTGTTGTGTTCCTCTTGCGAAAGAGCTTGCTCTGGAGCCCGTCAAATCGACTTCACACCAGTGTAATTTCCAGCAGCAGACTGAAATGCTGCGCTGCCCGTTCCTGGCAGTGTAATTTGGGCTTTTAGGCTTGAGCGAGAGAGACACAGAGTGCGCACGCGCCAGGGGGGGGCGCAGCTATTAGCTCTCTCTTGGCTGTGTGGAAGAAGAGAGAGACTCAGGCGTAGCGCTACTGCGCAGGCAGTGAGTGGGGCGCGCGCTTCCCTGCGCCAAAACACCAGGCAAGCAAGCAAGCAAGCAAGCAACAGACAGAGAGAGAGAAGGAGACAGAGTGGGAGGTAGATGTCTGTGCTGAAAAATCGGAGAGAGTCCCTGCAAAGGGGTGCCCCCTACAGGGCAGGGTCCGGTTAATGCCCGACAAGAGAGCCATACAGAGACAGAGCGAGAGAGAGAGATCAGGCCCCTACGCCCGGGAGAGGGGGAGAGAGAGAGAGAGAGATAGCTCTCTAGCAATCAAGCAAGCTGAGCTCTCTAGTTTTTTACTCGATAGACATTGGGTGGGCTCGAAACCTGACACGTCCAGAGAGCGCCCGCAGAATTGGCTATGTGGTGCAGTTATCTTTTCGTGGTGCCCGTTGCCTGCAAAATTGTAGAACTCCCATTGGTGAAATTTTTTGGTCAGATCTGCCACCGAGCACGTTGCTGCCGATCTTGAGTCTTACCCAGTCTTGTGAATCCTTGCCTGCTTTGTGCGAGCTGCCAGTGGCGATAACTCCGACAAGGAGGACACATCTTGTTGGGTGGTGGTTTGTGACCGGAGCCTTATGCCCCAGAGAAAGATCGAGAAGAAGCAGAGAAACAGCGCTCTCAGTGGTGTTGAAGGACTAACGGCGGCTGCTGCCATGCTGCGGGGGTCCGCGCAGATTGGACGCTGGACCTTCGGTGTCTCGGTGGCCGTCCTGGCATTACCGACTGTACATGGGCAGGGATTCGTCTCTGCGCGGGCACTGCGAACCTGAGCAACTTGCCCCAGACTTCTGGTGAACTTAGGAAAACGCTGCACTTCAATCGGCACCTGAAGGCACAAGCGTCTTTGGGAGGTTGCGCCACTTGCCGAAGGCTTCGTCACTTCGGATCCAAAGGAGGGCTGACACCCGGCACATCCCAGCACGAGGGCCGCTGATGCATGGATTCCGGGAATCGGGGAAATCGGACCACACGTGCTTTCCTACAGGATGCGTGTACTTTTTTGGCCACACCCCTCTTCTCGCGCTTATATGCGTCGTGGTTTCCTTCGCCTAGCCTGCGGAGTCCTGCTCGAAGAAATTGCAGCCAGTGCTCACAGCTGCTCTTGGGGTTCATGTCGTGGCTGATCTGGGAGCACCGCAGGCATCCATGCCAGATGTCTTTAGCCGCCTCACAGAATGTGCGGAGGAGGCAGCCACTGCGGCGGCAGAGATTCATAAGGGCACCATATTTTGACATCAACATTTGGGATTGAGGCTTGAGGACGTATGTCACACCCTTCCCGGATTGCCTCAAAAACCCTGCCCGTGGTCCAGCTGTGCTAGAGTTGCTAGAATTGTTAACTAGCCTGCGAGTCTATGAAGAGATTGAAGAGTTGATTTGAAGACCTATCCTTCGGCCCAGGAGAAGGCAAAACAAGAGCAAGGAACCGGATCGTCGAAAAAGGCCATGTTGCATGTGCTATCGCTGACACCAATGGAACTCTCGTCCAGGCTGTTAGTTCTAGTGGTTTGGTTGCAACCAGGCGAAGAAAAAGAGGGCTAAGCGAAAGAAGAAGGCAGCCCGCATGGAGAGAGAGGCAGGCTGGCTCTTAGAGCCATGGTACATGCTTCGTTTCCGACGAACTGACCTTTCAGGCAAGACGGCAATAAATCTGCTCTCTGGCAAGGGTTGTGGAAGTAGTGGGTCTGCATGACTTGCTCCAGAAGCCATAGAGTGGAAGACGAAGATGTTTGCCTGTGTTGCCCGCATACAATCCACGCATGCCCGCGGAGTCTTCGAGCATTGGCTCGGGCTGCAGGCAGAGACTGCGGATGCGACGCCATCCGAGAAGCCTGGGAAGACCAAGGAGGAATTGGAGGAGCTCAGCCCGAATTTGCACGACCCAGGTTGATGCCAGCAGAGCCCTTAGATAGTCTAGCATACACATTGCGTCATGTCTGGTAATTCACTGTGATATGCTGCGATCTGAACTGATGTTGTGTTACAGGAGACTGAGGCTGCTGCAAAGGCTGCTTGCCTCGGATTCAGTCGACCGGGGTTCTGCATCGGTGTCTAGTATGGCCCAGTATGGAGAATCTCTCACTGGAGGCCATGTGCCTGAGAGTTCTAGCGACTTTCTACAGTATCTATCTATCCATTCATCCATCCATCGATCCATCCATCCGTTGATCTGTAAATTTGGGTATCTGTTTCTATACTTATAGTCCCTGGCTTGACAAGTCAGCCAAGTGTCTCGTCAGTGGCCAAAGACTGCGACATTGGCGGGGCATGTGTTCTGTGCAAGCCGCACGACAGACTTCTTCGTTGCTTGGTCAGTGGGCGAAGGTTCATACTTATTGATTGGAATACGGGCTGTCATCCCATTCATTGTTCGAGAGCTACCGGTAGCAGGGGTTGAACTTGTTGCTCGCATTGTTGAGCACCATTTGTTCAGACCCAGTCTACAGGATTCAGGATTTGGCAGACCTTCCGAAGCTGGACAGGAAGTGTTATAAACTGTGAAGTCCGTAACGGTCCAACACAATGGCAATCAGGCCGCAGCTGCACCTCCGGGGGTAGAAGCTCATTCGGAAATCAGCCGTTTGACTGCAAGAGGAGCACTGTCGGGGACGTCAGGCTTCAGGGTGCAACGGCTTAGTGGTTTGTGGCGAACCGAGCGAGCGTTCATGGACAAGTGCTGCACAGTTCAAACTTCGATACGAGGACACTTTTGCAACTTGGAGCTGGATCTTCAAGTTCTTAAGGAAAGCGGACTCTCTTCAATGCCCCACTCTTCACACCTGTTCAGCAGCGTGCCTTGCAGGTATCGAGACCCGAGAGTTCACCTTGTCTTGGGAGGAGAAGGACATGTTTTTTGAGGCTCGAGGGCGTTAACCCGCTTGAGCCATAACGCTTACTGCTTGGAGATCAATGCGTAACAATGACTCCGCACTCCCTATGCGGCCCATTGAAGCGCAGGGGACCCTGAACATTTTCAGTCGCGACCGTTCTAGCCGTTGCCTGTCAAAGACCCTCAGTCCAGACCCTCTGCAGCCCTGCGCGCTTGAACGCTGCCTTAGCAACGTTTGCTCAGAAGTCTCAGAAGTTCGCTAGCTTTCCGAGACGGTAGATAAGCTTGTATGCTTCGTGCTCAACGGAAGCACACCTGCCATCAAGGCCCCCCACATATAAGCTTGCAGAATGAATTCCTTAGGTCCGTGTAAGCACGAGATAGCATTTCCAGCTGCGACAAATCCTTCTTGTGCTGGTCTTCCATTGTAGGAATGAAGCAATATGAAAGCGATTGCAGACCGAAAGTGAGGGTTCTGTGAGAGGTCGTGGACCGCAAGATGAAAGCTCTGATGTCCGAGATGCTGCGATGCACTTCATGGGTGAACACTACAGAACGTTTTGATGACCAACAGTCACAGAAAGACTCCTTTAAGAAAGGTAGATTTGCTTGTATCTCTGTACTGTTGTCCATCTTGAACGTTTTGAAGGCTATTGAGGACGCAAGGTACTACCTATCAGCGACGCCACCAAGATTCAGGATGTACAAAGCAACTAGCCAAAAAGCACTGTAGTTCCAGTGTCCCTGTTGCGTGGAGCTCGCGAGGAGTTGCCCGTGATTGGAGTCGAGATCCTATACCTAAAGACTAGAGTTACCCGTGTAAGAAGTCGAAACCCCATGCCTTAAGATTAAAGTTGATTAGAGATGTATAGACCCGACCGGCGGCTGGAGAGTCGCCATCTCGGATCCCAGGCTCGGGTGGTCTGACCCCTCGGAGCTAGAGGGCGCCGTGCCCTTCTTCGATCCGGACACCGGCTCTGGGCTTTAGCAACTTTAGCTCACGCAGTTGCAGTCGGCAGCCCGGAGCCCTTTGCTGCCGCGATTGGATGACTCACAAGAAGTTAAGGCAGCCGAGGCACAGCCGGTCTTTGGGCCCCCAGTGGTGTCCGAGCTATGTCCGTTTAGGGAGGATCCTAGCGCGAAGCTCTGAGGGCCGAAGGGCCACTCCACTGCAGCGCTGCGTCTCCTGCCAGGACCCCCACGTTGTCGACAGCACGGGCACGCGTGTTGAGGGTCCGATGATGATCTTTGCTGTGCCTTGGCTGTAGTCACTGTAGTCATTGATGTCGTAAGATGGTGGAGGTGGGGGCAGCATGATGGCCGCATGAAAGCTTTACGTACTGAGCTTCGGACCTCGCGCAAAGAGCCGTGCATGCGAATATCCTCCTTGCATGCAAATGTACTTGTGGCCCGAATCCTGCCACAACTTCAACGCTTTCGTCAGAGGGCCTGCGCGGGCAAATTCAACTCCTCATCGGACTGTGGTTCCGGGCTCCAGGCGTGTTCCTGATGTTGTGAACTGAGCTCTTATCCTCGGAAGCAAAGTACCGATCATATATCTCACTTAAGACTTCCACTGCAATGACGCTTTGTCGCAGAACGACTTGTTGCAGCGGCCTGAGGAGGTTTCTAGGGTATGGGCAGTGTCGGTTCCGTGTTCAGAACGTCTATTGAGTGACTACATCAACAGCAGGCTGGAAGTGCGAAACGCTGGGAAATGAATTAATGGGAACTCTTGATTAATACCACCCCCCCCGCCGGCGCAAGGTAGGTCAGCTGGTGGCCTGATCTATCCACCACCCCCCCCCCAATAAATTTGGCGGGTTTCGGGCCTGCCACCCAACACTCCTTCTAGGGTTTTGTAGGGCAGGTAGGGCAGGTAC